ACAATGCTTGATTCGACACTACAATTAATCACTCAGGCAGCTTCCAACTCTGTGTTCATCTTCTGCTTCTGCAACTTGATCGTAGTCATTATTCTCGTGGGATCGAAACCCGTCTCCAACAACGATGAACGGAGCATAACTCGCACCACAACGGCCCCCAGCAAGCATGCGGATGATGAACAAGGCACGAGGGTGAAACACGCGTGGAAGGAGAAGAATGCCTTGATGCAGGTCAGTGAATTAGTGTCAAATGAACAGAATGCGGCAGCTGATGATGGTGAATTCAGCAGCACCGATGGAGATGGTGACGATGATGAAACTGACACTGACGATGAGCTGAGGACAAGAGCAGAAGAGTTTATAGAAAAGGTTAATAAGGCATGGAAAGCAGAAGTGCTGACAACTTCATGTGTATTCTAGGCAGCAATTTTGTGTTGCAGTAATGGAACTCAAGTTACTCAACTGTAGCAATGTAAAGAAAAATCATTCACAAGAATGCACAATAAGAAAGAAGCACTTATGTTCATAAGCGCTTTTGAATGTTTAAAGCACTTTAGGTTCGTAAGCAAAGAGTCACAACATCCATTCATATTCCAACTTTCAGATAATAAGAACTTGAAGGGACAAATGACCAGTCATGTTTTTCATACATCTAAAAATGCTATATCATACAACACTAGAAAGTAGAAATACACGGATACAACAGCCACGTCCGTGGCGAGCCTGATCACGATCAAGAGACCAACCTAAAACCTAATACAAAAGACTACCGACTCGGGGTTAAAACCAACACGAGGTACGTTAAACCTAGTTTGTCCTTCAGAAAATAGTCAGACAGGTTTGATAGAGCCTAGATGTCACTCAGTCTGAACAAAACAATTAAGATACAACCGTCACACGAAAGGAGCAAGCATGATCAATAAGAAACTTCACAGTTTGCTTGACCAGAGCCTTTAGAATCCTCTTCCGACAACAATGATTTACTCTCAGAAGCTGAGTTCTTGAAGCTGTGCATGGGATTCGGAGAATTTGATTGGTCTCCGTGGAAGGAAGGAGCTGTCAGAATGGGCTTTACTCCGCCATAGACCTTCATTTCTTCACCAGACACAGCATTGACAATGATAGGGACAATTGACGATGATACAGGCTCGACTCTCTGCTTCTTTGGCTTCTGTTCCAGCTGGTGACCTTGCAGAAAACTGCCCACCACAACCTGATGCAGTCAAAACAGTTTGGAGGATAACATGAATTACAGAACTTGTTTTTAGAGAGTAAACTACATTACCACAACTAATTTCTGACATAATAGCAAAGTACTAGATTACTTGATCATAAAAATAACTTTTTAAACGCGTTTATAATCGTATAATGATGTTACCTGCACGGGGCCAGCAGCGATCAGCATACCAGCAAGTCCACCCCCAACCACTCTACCGTCTGGACCTGCCAAAGCAACACTCATGCCACCGGATCTGCTCTTTGTTCCTGCATTCTCAGTTGGTATATAAGATCCTGACAAGGAAAGTATCTCAAAGCGGCCCTGTAAAATCAACAAAAAGAACTTCAGATGTTCTCTCAAGTAAATAAATTCAATATGATGCAGGAACAATTTACTATTTTTTTTTGTTGCCCTGCAGAATCAATTAGCTATATAGCAAAATACATGTGCATCTGTATGCATATATAAAGAAAATATTAACTTAAGGTTATGTTCTTAAATATACAGCGATTAGAGACAAAACACAACACAATATTACACGAGAGTCACGAGACCTAGTATGTAAATAGCTTGCAGCTAGGAACTTACATTGATACAGTAATAACTAATAACAGACAATTTCAAAGACGGGCACACCACCATACCTCATATGTTAAAGTACCCCCCGAAGAGCTGGCCTGCCTAAGCGTAACATTTGAAATGGTACCATTTGCAGAAAGTATGCAAATAGCTCGAGCTCCTTGTTGAGAGAATGACATGATCTTCATTGTAACATCCTGCAAGAACCAGAAGTACTATCAGTAATATAGTAAAGTGCAACCTTAATCAAAGCAATAATACTGGAACAAGAAAACTCCTCTTTAACAAATCTCTAGATAAGGAATCTGAATCAACTTTCCAGTATGTAATTTTTGTTTGATGTTGTTTTTTGCTCGTAATTTAAACGTCTACAAGAATAATGACTGGTTTCAAAAATTATAAGATGAAAAACTTTCATTATAGATTAGAACAGTTGACACGACAGTTTTGTACTGACGCGAAAGTTTGTTTCACATATAACTTTCTGATGCATACCTCGCCCGAATGGACAGTGAGGATGTGAGGTGTAAAGTTCGCACCAACCGAGTATGCAATTTTGTCACCTACACAAAAAGATTAAAAACTGTCAGTGAAATCCCAAATCAAACCATTTTAAAATTGGAATTTGCATAATAAACACCCAGAAAGTATCCTAACTACAATTCAAAATGCTAGGTTTAATGATGTAATCACCACCAAAATGTAGAGCAATCAAAGAGACGAAACACTAACAAACAAGTGAAGTCTCATCTAAAGAACATAATACTCGTAAACCTGAAAACAGCAATGCAAGGAGATAATTAGGTGAACTAAAACATAGGGATCAAGATGAACAAAGCCCGGAAATTGTTGCCTAGTTCACAAGCAGACAGAAAAGAATCACCACAAAACAAAATGATTAACTAATCATACAAATTTTAAAACCCCATTTGTTTTATAACAAAGGTCATAGTTTACCCCTAAGGGCCACTCGAAAAACTGCTTGTAATCCTCAGGAGACGGGAGCTCTTTAACATAAGATGAGGTTCCAAGAGTGGAATGGTCATATTGAGGAGAGTGGTTAAGGTCAAAACTGACCCAAAACCAGGTGTTTAAACCCAAACTCTCTGCTTATGCTTTCTTCATTTTTATTCTCTTTTCTTTCTCATCTTGTGCAATTAGTCCAGAGTCAGCAGGTGATTAAGAGATAATCACCTAATTAGGCAAGTCTAATCCAGGCACGTCAGCCTAATTAGTGGACTCTACCTATTACCTATTGAACAAGCTGGCACTTCAATCATTCTCTCAATCTGTTTTCCTCACAGACAAGGCAAAGAGAGTACAATATAAATTTGTAGGCAGCAGAAAAACTCCGCATAACTGATAACATCAGCAAATCCAATAAATCACCATTTACTTCCAGATCTGACAAGGGAATCTGATCACAAAGGGTCCACTTGCAAACCAAATCCAAACATTCCCTTCAGATCTCACACAGCAGTAAACATGACACAATCTGTTGACGGGGATTTTTGGATCGGCATCATTAGGCTCAATAACATAACGCTGATCCAAAAATCCCCGTCAACAGCGTCAGAGCTACAACAAACCATGATCATTTCATCCCAAATGTAACAGTAAAAATGGTAACCAACATTAACTGAAAGTCAAAATTTTCAAAGCTTTTATTTAAAAGGGTCACGTTTCATTACCTGAGTTCTCAAACACGTCATGCTTGTGAGACTTCTTGATCGAGTCAACGGGCTTGCCTCTGCCCCTCTTCCAGGCGGAGAACTCGCCAGGGAGCAGAATCGACGACGAAATCGGCATCGGGGACAATGCCGACGACCGGACAGGCTTGTCGTCGGGTCCGTACTTCCTAGGCCTGCCCCTCTTCTTCTTCCCATCCGTACCGGTCCCAGTCAAGCTCATCGGCGACGCTGTCGGAGCTACCACCGTTGTGGGGCCCCCAGATGGGCTAGGGTTTTCGGTTCTGGGGGCAATTCTGTAATTCTCTGGAGCTTGTTCACCGCTCACTGCTACACCAGAAACCACCTTGTTGTCTTTCTCCTCCATTTGCATATCCAAATTTGCAGACACAAAAACCCTAAAAATCTTAAAACCCTACAAACTTTTCAAACCCTAGAATCTACCCATTAAAGTCTGCAACTTTAGGAAGCAAAAAAAAAAAAAAAACCCAGATAATAATTTAACTGCAAAGCAAGAACTTGAGCAGATTTCCGTAAAAGAAGGCTAGAAAGTTCCAAACTTTCAAAAAATTTGGAACCCAGAAACGACAAGTCGTCTCTAAATGCAGAAAGGTGAAGAACTCAGTGCTGCAACTCCTCCAGTTCTGATGTTTGCCTCCACCATTGCAGAGAAAGCACAGAGCTTCAATGGCAGAGACTGGAATTTCAGTAAAAAAATTTGTAAACCACTTCAAAGAAATTACAAGGAAACTAGACACGCTGATTTCAGAAACACTTCTGAGAAACGTGAATTTAGGGTTTTTACAGGAAAAGGAGGAGAAATAAATAAAGTATAAAAATTTGGTAAATTATAAATAAAAATGTAATTGTAATAATTAAATACTGATGAATTTAATTAAAAATTAATATTCTAATTGCAAATGCAAAGTATAAATTTTAGTTAAGAAAATGGTTCACGTCCGTCTTGGAAATTCAATAAAACTGAATTTAATAAATGGACAATGATACTAAACTTGAATATTAAAAAAAACAATCAAGTTTTGTTTGAGAAAAGAAAAGGGCTTTTCTATTTTTTATTACCATTTTATTAATTTAGATAAAGTTGTATAAATAAATAAATATTATATCAAAGCTGTAAAGCTAACGTTAGGGAGCTACACCAATTTTCCAACTACTGACAACTCCTTTGTCTTTTCAGAAAATTAAAGTTTGACTCGAAGATTTTAATTTGCTAAACGCCCTTTTAGTTTGGGGTATCTACTGTTAATGCCACTGTACACAAAATGCCCTTACAAAAAAAAAAAAAAAAGAAATTGATGAAGTTTGATCAACCAAAATTAAAATCTCGAGAAAAATTTGTATCAGGCAGTTATATTTCGTGTTCTCACATAATATAATTTTGGTATTTTTCTTGTCTTTTTCATTTGAAAACATTTTACTACAAATGAGAATAACTAATCAGACAACTCTATCGAAATTTCTCTCGAACAAACTACTGAATTGAAACAAAGAAATTAGAAACTTAATGATCACATTAATCAGGAGGGGAACAGGTTCAGACATTCTTAGTCCACGTTCACTGGTTGTAGACTATGTACATAAAAACCAGGAAAGCCAATTACAATTGACTTGAAATTCGAAAAAATCCAATACAAAAGGAAAAATAAATGCTAAAGCAACAATTTTAACTCAAGTTCTCACCAAAATGCAACTAATTAGCCTATCAAACTTGTATCATCGACTTGACATGTGTTTTTGGGAGCACAAAACCAGCTCTTCGTTCCTCAAATGAGTACTCAATCTCCTCAGGAATCTCTTGAACTAAGTTGGTAGCGAAAGGAACCGGTGGAGGAGGAGCTGGGGTCATAGCTGTCTGCATGGGAACTGACACTGTTGATGGTGTCGCTGGCATGAAGATTGGCATTACCTTGGGAGTCTTGTTCTCTTCGTCTGCAACAGTTCTAGGCTTCAGAGGAGTAGTGCCGAAAGCAACATTTTCGGATGGAATGGAAATGGGAACAGAAATGGGGGAGAAGGGTTTACGAATTGTTGGTGTCTCCACTTCAGAAGGATTTGGGGCACCAAAAGAGTGTTTTTTAACAGAAAGTCCAGCAACATCTAAGCCTAAGCCTCTTCTACCTGCATAAAAAAGACAGGATGAAAATATGTTAAAATTTGATTGTCAACATGTTTTCGTATAGTGTCTGTATAGGCATTTTTTTTTTTTCGAGACACTAGACAGCAACAGAGATATGGTGTTCCAGCGTCATGCCTCATGTTTTGTTTAAAATGAAATCAACAGAAGCTTCTGAAACACCGATGCAACGAAGAATAAAACAAACATGTTTTTAGGTACTACTACCAGAGTCAGAGTCCCCCCCTGCAAGGAAACAGATGGTGAATAACCTTCAAAGCAACTAAAATATATTTTTTTCAATATTCTCATTTGTCAACCATACACAAATGAGAACCGTTGGAGAAGAGATTAACCTGTGGACAAAGATGAAAAGCCATCATCCAGATGATTGTTTAATTGCTCATTTGGATTCACTCGGTCACTCTTTCTTGAACGCGGAGTACCTTTGATAGAGTGAAGTGGATCGGGTTTAGGAGCTTGCATTGAAAGTCTTCTATTGCTTGCACCTCCAGTTGACATTCTCGGAGCCTTCTTTACACTCTGAGGTTTTGAAGGACTTGGTTTTGACCCATAAAGTACCTCTTGCTCAGCTATCAACTGACCCTGAATCTTTTTCTGGTCCTGAAAATGGAAGATGAAGATTTGTCACACAGTTCACAGTAAGATCGTCAAAGAAATATGTCCAAGTGAAACTGCTGGCCATACCCGCTGTCTTCGACGTTCCTGCTCCTTCTCCTCCCGTAATATAGTATACTCTTCGAGCATGGAAAGAAGACGAATCTGAACAGAAGTGGTTAACAATAAAAATTGTTTCAGAAGTTGCATGTATGAAAACAAAAAATAAACTTCAACTGGAATAAATCTCCTAGAGACTGCACAAATACAAGGGAAGCAACTTACACCATCATATGTGAACTCAATGCCCCTCTCCTTCTCCCATGATATGGTTTTTGAAGCCAATGCATCCACCATTGCTGTATTAAAACCAGGATCCACGTAAAAACGCTTATTTAAACGCAAAAAAAAAAAAAGGAAAAAACTGAAACCAGCATAAACATAATCAAAATGATACTCTTGACCAAAGCACAGTTCTGTAACAGTTTTGTATATAGGATAGTCTACCATTATTAACCAAAGGTGCCATTTTTCAAAATTCGGACGATACCTGGAAGTTTATTAACCAAAGCACGTGCTTTCTCAGCACGCTTGAGAGTAAGATGAGCTCCTCTTCCAGCATTGTATCGGTTTTCATCCTACATGAACGCAAAAAGGAACAAGTAAGAAAAGGAGTTTCAATGTGGTGAAGTAATCGACATGGTGATGGAAACAACTAACCCTGTTATACTCTTCGAGCCAGCACTCCTCATCACAAGCAAACAACCACTTCTCAACTCTTTCAAGTATGTCTTTCCTGCTAAAAGCTTCCTCTTTAACCTTTGCAACCTGAAGCTCAATTTGATCGAGGACACAAGCAGGGTCCACATCTCCTGCACAAGTAAGAATGATGCACATGTTCAAGGACATTTATGTAGGAATTTTCTGTTACCCCATGATATGCTTTTAAGAATATAATATGGACCTGACTCTATAGCTGCAATTACGTAGTCAATTGCACTATCTGCTTCAAGGACCATATGTGTCTTTCTACAGATTTCCTCTAGCTCTGACCTCTTCTTAAGAACAAGCTCTTTCATTTTACTTGATTTCAACTCTTCCAACCGAGACACTTCTGCCTCAACCTGCACAATAGATTTAATCCCAGATGAAATCCTTGAAAAATATACTGATTCAAAAATCTGAAATAATACAGAATTACAATATAAAAAAACTCACACAATTGATGAAGTCCACAGAGAGTGTATTTGGTTCAGTTATCTCATGTTCTGAAGCAGCAATATTGCAGGTTATATTCTGAAACATCTGTTGCTCCTCAATTGGCGTATCCATCAAGTTCCACAGCTCTAACATGGTAGTTGCCAGATCTTGAAGCTGTCAGAGATTAGAAGGTTAATATGATTCAATTAAATGCGCAACTTTGACTAGAAACTAAGAAATGATAAAGAAGTAAGAACATTCTTTACCCTCTGCATTCTCTGTAATTTAACCTCCCGCAATTTTTGTATTGCAGCAGCCAACCGCTGAATTGTATCATTACTTATATTCTTGCTTCCTTCTGAATCAACTAAACTGGGATGAACCTCACTAATTGTCTGTTTGTAGTCCATACCAAGAACCGAGCAAAGTGAGTTCAATGTACACAGGTGGTCCTGTATGTGCTTAAGCCTATCACTCTGCAAAACAAGAATGAACAGATGAATAAGGAAATGAAGAGCACATAAGAATACAAAAGTTGATTACGATGATATGCAGACAGAGAGGAAATGTAAAAAAGAACTCCCAACCTTCTCAGTTTGGAGTCCATGTAGATGTCTGTGCAATTCTTCAAGCCTTCTCAATGATAAATCAGTTTCATCCACAGCCGGTATAGATGAACTGTAATCTGTGCTTCCATTAATCTCACTTGAAATTTTCTGTATCTCCTCTAGAACTTCCAGAAAGTTATTTTTCCTGTCGTATTTTCTTTTCTTCATCTCCTCCAACTGTGGAATTATTTTGCTGAGCTCTTCTTTCAAACTTCCGGCATTTTGATCAGACTGAAATGACACAGCAATTTGTAAACAGTTCTGATTTTAAACAATAGTAAGAACTTCAATGGAAACAGAATATTTAACCTATTTATCTATGAAAACAATCACAGTTATCTTCATTACAGTCGATCCTGACCTGCCTAATATGTACCGGTCGCTCCCCCATTGCAGAGCAGATTGCTGCAAGTTCTGCTTCGGAATCAGCAATTGCCTGCCGTAGCTGTGCCCTACACCGATTTGCCTTGTCAACTTTTCTTCTGTATACTTCTAGACACTCCTGCTCAAGCTCGAGCAACATCTTATCCCTATCTTTGTCAGACTCTCCGACTTCATTCCAAATTATCTGCATTTGTTGAATTAGACAAGAAAAAGAGTGAGTTTAGTACTTTTGTACAATCCAATTTCCGTAATTACCGAAAAGCTAGACAGGTTTTCTTTTCACATATCTAATTCATGTGATACCTGAAGTTCATACAGAAGTGATCCACATGTTGTTTCCATTTGCAGAAGCTGCTCACTTTGAAGATTAGACATATTGAAGCAATGCTACCTGCCACAAACAAACTCCACCATGAAACCCTAACTATATGCATTGCATAAATTGACCATAAAATTCTTAAAAATCTCTAAATAGCAACACAGTATATGGAAAAAGCTCTAAATAGCAACAAAACCCTAGATTCCTCGAAACCCAATTTCAGGTTTCTCCCAAAACTTTGGAGCAAAAAATATTACATCCCCAATTCTAGTCCAGATTAGGTCAAATTTCTATATGAACACCAAATTCTAAAATTCCATGCAATTTAGCTCAAAGAAATTAAAATTCAAAGCACCGTCCAGATCCCAGGCGACAAAATCAACTAGAAGAAGCCGAGGAACTGTTTCCAACAATTCACAAAATCAAATACCAAAAATTCAAAATTTTCAAATTTCAAATCTTGCTCGAGAACAAAACGGAGAATTGGGGAAAATTGAAGAAAAAGAAGGAAGACGGGAAGAGGAAGGATTCGTTGACAAACCTGAGAGATCAAATCAACGAACGTCAATTTTCTATCTGCTGTATGGATTTTCTTGCTACAGCTGCGGTCGTTGGCGACTGGAGGATTTTCCCGAGAAAATGTGGGTTTCGTTTCGTTTTTCTTTTCTTGGAAACTTTGGGGGAAAAAGGTAGAAATTGGGGTTTGAATTTTAATGGAGATGTGAGATGCGTAACTGAAATGTGAAATGTTTAGAGAGAGAGAGAGAGAGAGAGAGAGAGAGAAAGTAGCCGTTTGAAGGAGGAGAAAAGAGGACCGTTGAAGAAGGCAGAGAGCGCTTGTCAAGGATTTTGTACTTTAATGATTCTCCAGGACGACATTTGAATTTCAAATTTTCAGGAAATGACTCCGATTTGCTGTAGTAGATATATCGCCGCTCTCGTGCATGTGGCGAATGGAAATTTGCCACGTCAGCATAAAAAGTCAATGTGTTGATCCCTTTTGTTTTCTATTTTGGTAAATGACGAAAACGAACGCTCGACGGTGTATTAATTACGGCCGCATATCTCGTTTTCAAAAATAATCATATTTATACATTTTAATTCAACTTTGAACTTTGATCTTCATAATTTGTAATTTGGAGCAGAAGACTCTATTTTCCTAAGGTTGGATAAAACTCCAACAAAGTTTTAATCTTTTTATGAGAGCAGCTCCACCGGAGCTCTTTTTGCCCAGCACCCAGTCCAAATAACAGCCCGGCATGCTCCATATGTGCTCCAGCCCGCCAACTTGCCTGGCACCCAGCCCGTGCCAGTCAAGAGCCCAGCCCAAAATGGACAGACCCATTCCCCGGTCTGTTTCTGGTGCGTGCACAACACGCGGGGGGCGCGGTGCGTAGCCGACAGCTTTGCAGGCGCTGGGGCCCGCGTGCAGACCCACTTGCAGGCGTCCGGGTGAAGGAAACGTGGCCTCCTCAGAGCCGTTGGATTTCCAACGGTAAAAAAAATTTAAATTTAAATTTTAAATTGGACCGTCCGATCACAGATCAATGGTCCACGTTTATTTCACCAAAATTTTTTTTTAAAAAAAAAAAAAAAAGGCCCAACGGTCAGAAATTTGACCGTTGGCCACGTGGCGTAATGAGTGCTGTTGGATTTGATTATTTTTCAAATCCAACGGTCCCGATTAATTACAACATTAAAATTTATTAAAAATTAATTAAAAAATGTCAAAATTTTTTTAAAAAATACAGAAAAATTTTAAAAAATTAATTTTTTTTTCTATAAATACCTAACACTCATCTTCCACCTTACACCACATTTCAATATTTTCTACACTTTCTACATTTGAATATTTTGTACACTTTGAGAGAAAAAAATGACTTCGTGGAAGCTCAGTGAAGATGTTACGTTGTGTGAATGTTGGGTTCGCACTACTCATGACCCGATTACGGGTAATGAGATGGATAAGCGAGAAATGTGGAGTAAAATTACGAAATCGTTCAACGATGTACATGGAAAAGATGTACATGGAAAAGATGCCAGATCTAGTCAAGGTCTTCAAGGTCGTTGGAAAAAACTCAACGCATCCTTTACTTGTTGGAAAAACGCCCTCTCTCATGCTTCTGGTAATTTGCGTAGTGGGACAAGTTTAGCGGATGAGGTAACAATATTTTTATTTATTTATATGCATTCCACCCACATCAATATTTTAATTTTTTTAATTTCTTATATGTAATTTTTATGTAATATGCATTCCAAATACTTATGTAATTTTTATGTAATTTTTATATAATTTTTATGCATTCCACAATTCTTATTTAATTTCTTATGTAATTTTTATGTAATATGCATTCCAAATACTTATGTAATTTTTATGTAATTTTTATATAATTTTTATGCATTCCACAATTCTTATGTAATTTTTATAGACACTACAAGCACAAGCATTCTACAATGCAAAGAACCATAACAAATCATTCAACAAATGGGAATGTTGGCAAATTGTCAAAGATTGCCCTAGATACAAAATTGTGGCAACCGGTCCAGAAGTTGTCATGCACGGTATGGGTCTACACAGTTCGCCAGAAGCAGACACAGCCGAACAAGAAGCCAACACATTTGAAGACACGGAAGGGATGCCTGAACAAGTGCCAGAGACCCAACCGACTCGTCAGTCCCTCAGGCCTCAAGGTAAAAAGGCATCAAAGAAAAAAGGTAGTTCTTCAAAAAATGACTACACTAAATATATGGAGGAACTTACTCGTCAAGGTGAAATGAACATGGCATGGGAAAAGGCTAGAGATGAGGAAAAAGCTGCTGCTGTGGCAGCAATTATTGCAGCTACTGAGGCTCGTGATGCGGCGTCTGAGAGACAAAGAGAAATAGTTAATCGAGAGAACGAGATGATTAGAGAAGCACTTCATCGAGAGAATGAGATGCTTAGAGAAGAAAGGATGACTCAAACAGATCGTGACACTATGAACAAGTCTCTAGTAGGACTGTCTCCGAATTCAAAATATTTTTGGACATCAGAAAAAAGAGATGTCGTGCGAAGGAGGCGTGCAAGAGATGCCGAAACAAGTCAAGGGGGTTCCAGCTACAGAAATCCTAGCAACCAAGATCCTAGCACCACATATCCTAACTCCACAGACTTTATTTAATTTCTTATGTAATTTCTTATTTATTTTTAGAACTTTATTTAATTTCTTATGTAATTTCTTATGGCACTACGTGATTGGTTGAAAATCTTAGCGGAAATCTATTCAAAAAATAGTACGTTCGGATAATGACACGTGGCGTGACGAGATTGGTTAAAAATCTTATCGAAATCTTGCCTAAATTATTGTAAACAGGAAGTGACACGTGGGTTGTCGGGATTGGTTGAAAATCTTAGCGGAAATCTATTAAAAAAATATTACGTTCGGATAATGACACGTGGCGTGACGAGATTGGTTAAAAATCCTATCCGAAATTAAAACTATTTTTTTTATTATTTTATAAAAAAATTATTTAATATTTTAAATGGACTGGGTGCCAGCGCATTTTGTAGGGGTGGAGATCGTTTGTGCCAGCGCAATTTTAGACTAGGTGCCAGCACATTTTTTTTTGGGGTGGAGATGCTTTGGCCTATTACTGTTCATTGAGTCTGTTACTGTTCAATTAAGTGGATAAATGAGCTGGGTGCTGGCACAAAGTGGATAGGGGTGGAGTTGCTCTGATAAAAATGATGTAATTTAAAGAGAAACCTCGAAAACACCCGAGACTTCTAGAGTCATACAAAAGAGCGTTCCTAGCTTGCTGAGGAAACACCTGAGATCTTAACACAATTTTAATTAAAACCCACATATATGCACCTTATCCTCATTGTTCTTATTCATTTTATCTTATCAACGAATATTGTACTTATTAAAATATAAAAATTAGAATTTCGTCTGAGAAAGATGCAAAAAAGAATTTCTAAATTGGAATGAAAATTATAAAAAGAAAGTTTTTTATGTAATCTTAAATTGAGATGTATGACACAAGTACATAGCTAAACAAGCAAATCACTTATTTACTCTAATTGCTCTCAAAATACAGAATTAGCGGCTAATTCTCCCATCTAATCCAACAAATAATTACTCTACAAGCTAATATTTAAATAATTTTAAACAAAAAATGGTTACTCTATAAGCCTTTCACCAACTCATGAAGAAGAGTCGTTGCTGCCCTCATATTCTCTCCTTATAATTTCAAGCACAAATTCGTTCCATGTATCAACCGGACCCGGCATGCACCAGTGCAAGCAATCCTGCGGCGGAGGCCTTCCGTCTGGTCCCCGCTGTGTTTTCTTATTAGGATCCGGGCTTCTGTACGGGCCTGGATGTCCGTCATGGCGGTACTCAAAAGGTTTCGTGATATCCATCAACTTCAACTTCGATTTGTTTGTCACACCTTTCTGAATCGCACGGTTGAATCCCATAACCTGTTTTTCATGCATTATGTTTGTAAAGCCATTTTCCACTACTTCGCCAAGCGCAAGAGGCTTGACCTTCCCCGTGCATGATCCTCCTGTGTTCCAAGCTCCACCCTCGTAATGGTCAGGTGAATAGGACCGCACAATCGCAATCCCTGTATAATTCGGATGTCTAGCAACAGCAGTGAGAATTGTCTCGACAGATATTCCAAATGCTTCAATGTTGTTAACCTTCATAGGCCTTGAATTGTCCGGCCACCACAACTGCCCTCCCACTATCTCGTTGTTTAAGATATAGACCGACTGCTTGGCGAACCAATGGCCGGAAGAGAAAATAATCACATCGAACTTTGGGATGAGATCTATGAATTTGTCATCAGGGGCATCAAGGTGGAGCTTGGCCACACCCTCTTGAGCAAAATCAAATGCCTGGTTTGTTTGTTTCACAAGCCATGAGGACCAAATCCGGACAACAAATGTAGATGTCGACTTGAAATAATAGCGTTGCATTCTCTTGTTCCCCCGATTTTTTGGAACTTCTACCTGCATACACCACACAAAGATGTAAGCACCACTAGAGTCAGTTCTAACAGCATTATCCGCAAAAAAGGACTGCAATCTTATAGAGTTGCTTTGAAATGCAAAGTTGCAAACACTAAACAAACTCCACAAATCTAATTCTAATCACAAACGCTAGCAGGGTTGATGAATCCAGAGTTGTGAAAATTCCGTATAAGAAAAAACTGTTTTGTCCGAGAAGGAGAAGCATCTAATTTGAGATAAAATTCATAAAAAAGTTTAAGATAATTGCCTGCCAGAGCATGCACAACAATGATTCCATATGGTTTCGAGCAACGGAATCACCAATGAAAGCTATTGTTTTTCCCCTCATCAACTCTAGAAATTTCCTGGGATCAAAATGTGGCAGGTCACACTGAAAGGGCTTCCATCGCCAATTCTCATACTGCTTGTCAGGCCTCCCATTTCCCTGGCAATTTTGCATCTGTGTCAGGACAGGACATGTATTGTTTGTATATAGCGGTCCTTCTGAATCATAAATCCAACTTCCACTGTATAGATCACAGCCTGCATAATACAAACAAGATGTAAGTCAAAAACATAAAAACAAGTACCGAGAACAAAAAATCCACTTGAAAATGAAATATTATAGCAACAACTCAAATTTCATAGGTACAAAAGGTAAAGATTATACAAAAGTTCAATCAGAAGTATAAAAGGCTCAGATTATAGCACAACTTGTCAAATTTCAGCAAACATGAAAGCATAACAAAACAACACAAAAGCTACCTGAATCAACGGAACCACCACTGGTTGCATTGTTGCGCAGCTGAGTAGAAGCTGGGATGCCTTCAGGTTTGGAATCAGATGGAGCTGAAATAGTATCATTTGGCTCAATGTGTGCGATGTCTGAATTGTTGGAAAGACTCACAGAAACAGGTTATCATTTTCTTCAATTTCTGTAACATTGGACAAACCAGAAGCAACCTTAGCCCCTTCTTCTTGCATTGTGTTATTAGATGGCCCAAGAGCAGGTGCTTCTCTATCCTTTGTCTCCTTTATTTCTGAAACTATTGATGGATCACTTGAATGTGAGGACAGTTGTGGATTGGACTCATCTGACAAATTCTTATCAGTTTTTATCATACCGTCAACAATTGATGAAGCAGGTTGAAACTAGCAGGCACTGATCCAACATTTTCATTGTCTGATGAACCGGATGAGTTTCCTGTCACATCTGGTACATCTTTGATCTCTCTAGTTTCTGAAACTACCACTGAACCATCTGATGTCGTAGGTACTTGTGAATTCAATTCAGTAGGAATATTCTGATCAATAACTTTTGTTTGCGGACCATCTGAACTTTTTGGAACTTCTAAATTAGACTCAGTTTGATGATCAACAACTTTTGGTTGTGGATCATCTGAACTTCTCCGAACATCTAAATTAGAATCGGATAACACATTCTTATCAACACTATCTACATTGTTAGGAAGAGGAGAATCGTGGGACATGGGATTCCCTATAGAGCTAGAATAATCCAATTTCTGCATACTATCAACACCATAGAAATACCAGCTAACCGTGGAACCAATTGGATAAGTAACTAAAACCCAGGAAGCAAAAAGTAAGAACAAAGCCAATGCCACCCCCGAAACTACAATCCAAGAAAGACCTTTCGGGTAGGAAGTCATTGAAATCGAACCTTTGGGCGAAGCCCAAGTCATTGTTTTCCAAATCAAGCAATTTGTGCGAAATAATTACCTAAACTATATCAACAACCAAATAAAACCCCAAAAGCATGCGTACAAATGGCTAAAGAAGAAACCCCAACTCTTCGTTATCTTTCCAAACTAGGAAAATCCCAACTTTAAGCTCAGCCTCCTCCAGCAAATCCTGAAAACATACAAGCAAGAACTCCAGATTTTACATGTAATTCAGGCAACACAATGATAAAAACGGAAACTTTATAATCATGCTTAATCATAATTAATCATAATTACTATTTTAAGTAAATTTCCTTACTAAAATTAGACAAAAAACAATGGCTCCAAAAGGGTATGTAGATCTAAAGAAAATGTACCTTGATCGACACTACAGGCAATAGAAGATCTTGAAGCACTGAAAAGCGCTAAAATTTCGATGATTCCGAAAACGGAAAACAACAATGGAAGCATGAAGATTTGTCTCCAGGGGAATTGGATTCCTGGGTAAGCGAAAAGAATGGGAAACTCGGATTCCCAACCTGGAAAGTTGAATGCTTTATGTACGGGACGCGGAATCAGATCAACGGCTGAGAGCTTTTGTTAATGGAAGTAGCGGATGATGATCTGGAAACAGGGGACTTGGTATTAAAGAATTAAGATCAAAGATGAAAGATTTAAATGGGAAAACGACTTTCAGAGAGGAGAGAGAGAGTCTGGAGTTACTATATAATGCCCTTTGGTTCGTCGTGATTCCATCAAAGTAAGTGCTGTGAGACCGACCTCATTGTTTGGGTGCGGCATGGGTGGGTAGTTGAGGAGGTGACAGCTTTTAATAGCATCAACCATGATTTTCAATTAGGATGACTTAATAGTTAGAGGTGAATTTTAGACACGTATTTTATTTGACAAGTTTTATGTTTCATTCTTATTGTTAGTAAATCACACATGATTAAGAAAGTTTGAAATGCTTATGTGAGTTTTTTCAGTATCAAAAAATGTAGACTACCGTGACGAAACTATTAACTTTTTCCTTTTAAAAAAAATGAAACTATGAATTTTCAATTTTCTGATGTATTATGGATGTTAATAAAGAAATGTTAATAATTTTCTCCTAAAATTTGTTTTTATAAATTTTTTATCATCTTACAATATAACATTAATTTTCGTTCTAATAAGTCAATTAAATTCAACAATTAATTAGAAAATGTGACAAATGTCAACTCATTTTCGCATTACATTTTGGTGGAAGGTCACATTGTACGAGTTAATTATATTAAATTGAATACTAATTAATTCGTAACAAGACGACATTTTTTCTTATGAAGTTGACGGATAAATCCCTTTTTTTTTTTTATTGGTTTTGATTATTGCATTTGATTAAGAATGCACTCATATCGCCCACAACTATTTTTATAGTATTATTTCAAACGTAGTTCTTTTTGGTTCATCTCTTAAGCCCAAGATGAGGATCCTTCTAACCAAGGAGTATAGGTCGTTGGATGAAAATTCAACGGTTATAATTATTATAATTTTAAAAGGATCATCCTGTTTGTAACCGTTGAATAATGGCCCACACTCTTTGGTTAGGAGAATCTTTACCCTTGAGCTCAGGAGAGGATCCAAATCCGTTCTTTTTTGGTCAAAAATAATAAGAAATGCCTGCATATGTCATAAAATACTTTTAACAATTTCATAAACAATTTTAACACGACCTTAATTGTCACATCCTAGTTTCAGCTCCGCCGTAACACGATATTGTCCGTTTTAGGTCCTGGCCATGCCTTCACGGTTTTGTTTATGGGAACTCACACAAGAACTTCTACAATGGATCACCTATCCTGGGATTGCTCTCGTCCGAACTCGCTTAACTTAGGAGTTCTAATGAACCCAAAGCTAGTGAGCTCCTAAAAGGCCTCGTGCTAAATAGAGGTGGGCATGTACATATAAGATACATCACTCCCTTTCCGTTGGTCGATGTGGGATGTTACAATTCACCCACCTTGGGGCCCGATGTCCTCGTTGGCACACTTGCACCACACAACATAATGGCTCTGATACCATTCTGTCACATCCCATTTTTGACTCCGCCATAGCATGATATTGTTCGCTTTAAGCCCCGGTCACGCCCTCAAGGTTTTGTTTATAGGAACTCATACGAGAACTTCCTAGTGGATCACCCATCTGAGAATGCTCTTACTCGAAACTCGCTTAACTTCAGAGTTCCGATGGAACTCTAAACCACTGAACTCCCCAAAGGCCTCATGCTAAACGGAGGTAGGGCATGCACATATAAGACACATCACCTCCTCTCCGTTGGTTGATGTGGGATGTTACATTAATTGGTTTATTTGAGGTTATTGGGCAATTTTCTTTTGATATGAAGAAAAAGAAGAAAACGTATTTTATGCTATGCGACATTAAATGATACGAGTATTGGAATACCTAAATTTATTGGTTGGAATTGGGATTGTTACACTCTGTTGTCCTTTTGCTATATTCGTTAGACCAACAATAAGCTCATTATAGCCCTACAAAATATTATTTTTAAATGAATAGCGTTAGGCTATACTTATATACCATCTTTAACTGAAGGAGTTAAACATATCCCCTAAATAATTTATTAGTTTTTAAGTTTATACTTTAAATTTATTGGTTAATTTAATTAAATTACCTTTGAATGTCTTCAATTCTAATCCTTAAATTTGAATCAACTATTGCATTTAAGGAGCTAGGCCCCAAAAAAAAAAGGTTAAGATGGGGGCTACATTTGGATAGTTTAATGCCCTTTTTGCCAAATAGAGCCCTAGGGGCTTCACAAAATTATAGCTTAGTACGTCGGTTGAAGATGAATTTTTGGGCAAATAAGTCATTTTTTAGCTTTGGGACCTTTGGCCCTATGCTTCTAGCATGTAGCATCCGAGTCTTGCCTGTTTAAGGAATATGGAGGAGATATTGTCCTCTCGGTCATCTTGACCAATCATAGATCCGCTTGAAGATTCAGTAGCTAATAGAGATACCACATTTACTTCTTCAAGAGTTGCAAAGGCAAAGAGTGGATCTAATTCTAAGCCTAGTAGCTCGGGCCGGGCATGCCCTTTAGGAGGAAAAATTCAAATTGTTATTGAAGAGTAGTATGTGTAAAGAAGATGTTCGGTGTTAAAGGAGATTAGTACAAGCTCAAATTAAATTTCTCAAATAAAAATTCAAAGGTTGAACCGGAGTCACACGCAAGAGTAACTCTTACAAAACCGCAGACTCTCTCTCTCTCCTCCATTTCTCTTCCTCAACGGTCCTAAACGTTCATGTTAATTAGGGATCCAACATCCTCCCGCCAAACACCGAATTATCCCCCAAAAGGTTAAGACTTCACTCTCGCTCTCACTCCGCACCCACTCTTAAACCCTAACCCCCTTCACACCCCAATTCGTCGTCATTTCTCAGGAATCTCAGACTCCATAGTCTTCTGCTGTCGAATTCTAAAACCCTAGCTTTCCCGCACCTCGGCGGAGATGAGCTTCGCGGCCTACAAGATGATGCACTGGCCGACCGGCATCGAGAGCTGCGCCTCGGGATTCATCTCCCACTCACGAGCTGACTTCGTGCCTCGAATGCCTCAGGTCCAGACCGATGACCTGGAGTCCGACTGGCCACCTACCCGCCGAGAAATCGGCCCCATTCCGGACCTCGTCGTCACCGCCGGAAACGTCCTCGAAGTGTACGTCGTGAGAGTTCAGGAGGAAGAGGGTGCCAGAGGATCTAGGGCTTCCGGAGAACCCAAGCGTGGTGGTCTCATGGACGGCGTCTCGGGGGCTTCGCTCGAACTCGTTTGCCATTACAGGTCCGTTGCCCCATTTGAACCCCTCTTTCGATTTTATTGGCGTTTTGTCAGGAGATGAATTCGCCAAATTAGTCTCTCGTAATGCTGTATTTAAATTAATTACTGATGGTTTCAATTCAAATTTTTGTTTGCGTGTAATTGGATTGCAGAATGCACGGTAATGTGGTAACAATGACGGTTTTATCTGGTGGAGGCGGTGATGGTTCCAGAAGAAGAGATTCTATTGTCTTAACCTTTGAAGATGCAAAAATTTCAGTTCTTGAGTTTGATGATTCAATTCATGGACTCCGTACTAGGTGCATTATTAGTTTTGCTATTTTGTTGATGTTATATCGATTGAAGCTCCGTTTAAGTCCAAATTGCAACACACTTGAGTGTTTTTTCTTTTGAAAGTATTGTAAGTGTTGAAGTTGCTGATTTTAAATCCTGAGTAAGAATTTAATCGTGAATTTATCAAGGGGATACTTGATCTCCTCTAGCAGGCTTGAATACATAAACTGACTTTTACTTGAAGTTGGTTGTGTAATTTAGTGATTGAAGAGATTTAAAGTCTATAATCTGTAGTCTGTACCGTTATTAACTAGTTATCCCCCTTATTAGTTAGTTTTACAGAGTTTCGTTTTGTTATATTTTCCATAGTTTGTTTAACCATGTTGCAAGGTGATATTAATTCATTGATCCTTTTTCCAGCTCTATGCACTGTTTTGAGGGCCCAGAGTGGCTTCATTTGAGAAGAGGCAGAGAGTCATTTGCAAGAGGCCCATTGGTTAAGGTTGATCCTCAAGGCAGGTGCGGAGGCGTTCTTGTTTATGGCTTTCAAATGATAATACTTAAAGCTGCACAGGTCTCTTCTGCTGCCTAAACTTTGTATTTTGATGATTGTGGTGGTACTAGCATTAACATGGCGTCTTGTGTTGAAAAATTATGGAACAATAAGTTAGTTTCGATTCCTGATATGTTTACCATAGGAAAACTCTTGGAGGGGAAAAAAAGAAAAACTCTTGGCTTAGCAACAGTTGTAAGCTTTGGCTCATATGCCCTTATTAGGAGCATACTCAAATTGATCTAGGTTATTATGCCAACGAGTTACTGGCTCTCTCTCATATTCAACAATGTGTTGCTTAGTGCTGGTCATGACATCTTTGGCTAAAAAAGTATAATTTAAGAAGTTTATTCTCTATTCGTGCTTTATAAATTGTAGGATTTGGAGGGCAAAAAAGTGAAACCTTGTTGCCTAAGTAACAGTTCTAAGTGTTACCTATGCAGTATACCTTTGCTAGTAGTGCTTTCAATTATTGGTCTTGGTCATTGTGCCTCAACTCTCAAAGTCCTCTAGTAGATTGTGATCTATAAAAGAGGATCCTCTTCTATACCAATTTGTATATCTTGTGTCAGGGTGGCTCTGGTTTGGTTGGGGAAGATGATGGCTTTGGTTCTGGAGGTGCAATATCTGCTCGTGTTGACTCGTCTTACATTGTTAACCTGGGAGATATGGACATGAAGCATGTAAAGGATTTTACATTTGTACATGGTGAGTTTGGTTGTCGAATGATCTTTGAAAGGAGTAATGTTTGTAAGACATTTAATAGACAAACATTGTATTTGTATTTGTGGACTAAAAAGAAGATATTTGGATATGAATTCTTAGTGTGTATTATTTAATGGGACTTTATATATTCTATGATAATTAAATTCATATGTGGATTTGAGTATTTGAAATTGGCAGAATTCATATAGGTTGCGTAATTCACTCCATAATATAGATTTGTGTTGATAAAAGTGTTCTGTTTCTTACGAAAAAAATGTTGTGGTTATCAGTATCCATATTTGCTTGTATTGCATTCCCAAGTAGGATTGAAACAAAATA